TTCATGGCTGGTGGAAACATAAGCTTGTTCAATCACTCTGGAAAACAGTATGGAGGTTCCTCAAAAAAACTAAACATAGAAATACTCTAAGACCCAGAAAATTCCACTACTGGGCATTTATCCAATAGATAACAATGTTCCAGTGAAACCACCAGCACAACCATGTCCATTGCATAAGTCTTTTAGAACAAGATGGTACCCTGCCATTCCTGGGAAACCCTATGAAGCATTATGGACATCTAGTGGCTGCTCAGGATAATGCCTTGGGATGCAATACCAGTAAGGGTAGGGAGTGGTCTAGCCTGGTCAGTCCTTTGTAATCTTGCCTACTCAGTCCTCCAGGAGACCATGTCTTCCACTTTATCAGGGGTCCAAGTCACTCATAATGGCAGAACAACTCTATCAAAGACCCATCCTCACCCAAATGCAGCAAAGTATAGTACTGGGATCTAACACCACAGAACACAGACTTAAATGGCCATTAGCCATATGCTGACATTTTGACAGAAGAACTGAGCTCGGAAAGGACAGACTCTCAGGTAAGTCACTGTGCTTCTCTGAGCTTCCTTAACATCTGTAAAATGAGAGAGAGAGTCAAATCTCTTAATGTTAACATTCTGTGATCTATGAGCCTTTTTTGTATCTGGGAAAACAGTCTCATCAGCTCTGCTCTGGCCCCATGGATCTCTACATTAAACTGAAGGAAGCATTCTCTCTTCAACTTCATGGCCCATTTCCAAGCTTGGCTACAATCCTAAGAAGGCTCAACTTTCTTCCCAAAGCTACATGTCTGAGAAGGGGTGGAAATCATAGACTGTGGGAGTTGCAAGGCATTTTTTAATCCATTCCCTTGATTTTACAAATGAAGGATAGAGAGATATAGAGAAATTTCAAAATTCATCATGCCCAAACAGTAGCAGAAATGTGATCGTAACTTGGGCATTCCAATAATAACTTGGGTATTCTTCAATACTGAGCTGCTGGCACAGGCCTTGCCCAGACTCTACTGGTGTCTTCAGCACTCTGGTTCTCTGTGTGAAATGTGAGTGAACGTTCTCAACGCAGCATTTCTTCTCTTCCCCTAGGTTCCGGCATCCCTCTTCCCTTCTTATTCCTTATTGGCACCACTTCCAATCAAGAAAGTAGTCAGGAACAGACATTGTGAGGGGGCACCCCTCCCCCAAACCCACAGCTTGTGGGGTTTAGAGGCTTGCAGGGAGGGCTACTCTAGGCCAGGAGGCTGTGTGTTGAAGTCTACTCAACCTCCTTTTCAGACCAGCGTGGAGGCTTTAGGTGCTTGTGTGGTCCCAGCTGGCCTACAGAGGGCAAAGCAGTCCAGTGTAGAACTTGGCAAGATTCCCTCTTACCACTAGCAGTCACAAACATTTACTGTGAGAAAAGTTCACTTTTACATACTGGTTTGATCCAAGTTAGCCCACCCTTCCACCTACCTTTGTATGTGCAGGGGCAGCAGCTGTCATTTGCTGGGCCTGGAGCTGAACAGATGGGGTCTAAGTTTGCCTACACAGGCAGGATACCAGCCCAGGCAGAACCTCTCTTCTGCCTGAGGAGGGAGGGACAGCTATACTTCAGTTCACCATCAGACTCTAGTTGAGGTCTCCTGTGACACTAGAGCTCTCTACCAGCTCAGTGCCAGCTGTAGCAAGAAGAGAAACCTCACACGCACACAGATGAGATTTATTTTCTGAGCCCCTCTGTCCCCTCTGCCCCAATACAATTTACTTTGTCATAACCCTCACTGAGCTTTCAGTCTTACTCTAACCTTGCCTTTACCATATGGTTTAGGAAGGGCAGATTCACTGGGCATTCTCTTTAGATATGAAAATACTGGCCCTAGGGTCTGAATACTGGCTTGAAAAGCTGGCTTTGTCACTTTTTTTTGGCTCTAGGACTGTAAACAATTTATTTGCTTGCCTGAGCTAAGTGTCTTTAGTCATAAATTGGAGACAACAGTGCAATTATTTCACTAGGATAAATGAAAATTATGCCAAGAACAGCTGTAAAAGTTCTTAGTGTGGTGGGCAGTACATAAGAAACCCCCCCTCCAATAAATGGCTGTTTAAGTAGATAGATGATACTTGAGTTCTTGTCCCATTGGGAGAATATTTTGGGGAATCATTTCCACATCCAATTGCTCTGACACTGACCAGGGTTCTACCATTTGTTATGTGACCCTAGGGAACACACTTGATGCATTTATAAAATGGACAAGAGAGTTGGTGGGAAGATTAACAGTGATACACACAGTAAGGTTTCAATAAATATCAATGAATAATGTTCTTATGTGACTGCAAGTGAGAATAGAAAGGTCCATTAAAAGAACGGAACACCACTTGTCTACAATGCAACTGTTTCCAGGACTTGAACAATGTCATGGCATATTTAAGGGGTTAGGTCATTAGGCAACAAATAATAATGCGATTATAGGTTTGATACAGTCTAGGTAGCTAAGAAATCCTAGGCATCATGGTTCTTAAACAGCAGCCTCTATGCAAGCGACGAGGGTTGGTTTTTACCAAGCAGGCTTGCCAGATTTAACAAGCAGGCTTCCACAGGGAGAGGGGTGGGAAGGGAGAAGTCAGCATGGAAGCAGAGCTGGCCGGCCATCCCAGGGTTTAGCCATACACCGACTTAGGGGCGGCGGGGGGGGGGGGAGGAATAGAAAAAGGCCGAAAAGGTCTTTGACGAGTCTGTCAATTGTCCCGGAAAAACCAGCAAACTGCTATCGCGGGCTGCTATGCAGTTCTGTCCAGGGAATCCCAGGCAAAGGGCTGGGAAGCTCAAGGGGCAGATGACAGGCGCATCCATCGTGGTTCCCTGCGCGCAGAGGGAGAGAAAAGGGGCGACACAGAGGCAAGGCTGCAGCTCCATGAATGAACCGTGGGCTGCGCCGTGGGTTCTGGGAGTTCACCTCAATCCTTCCCAGGTTGTCATTCCCCCAGCTCGCGGCACACGGGTCTTTCCTTCCACTGTTTCCCGCCCCCGCAGCCGTCATTAAGAAAACTATCATTTAAAGCCCCAGTTGGAGCCCAGGAGGGGTGAGGGAGCGTGCAAGGGAGGGGGCAAAAGGATGGGCACCCGTGCCCTGGTGAAGCCAGGCTCGTGGTGTTCTGGTTCCAAGCAGCCCGGGCTGCCTCTCTGTCCCCCATGCAGCTCCCAACTCTGAGCACGAGCCGGCTTCTCCGGCTGCCTCGGCGGCACGGCGAGGGCAGGCGAGGCGCGCTGTCAGCATTCGGCCAGGGAGAGGATGACGCGGGCTGGGCAGGAGAGCGGCCAACTGCAGCAGCCCCGCCGCGGGCCGCCGAGCGCCCAGCTCGCCGGCCCCTGAGCCCAGCAGCGTCGGGCGTCGGGCGCGGGCCGGGGCGGGGGCCACGCAGTCTCCCGCTGCAGCCCCGCACCGATCCAGCCTATCAGCGGCCACTCAGCGATTCGCTCCAGCCCGACCAAAATAGCCGTGAACGCCTGTGACTAGCGCGCGGCCCCACACTTGACGCTCGCCCGGCCGGCTCGCTCGCTCGCTCGCTCGTTCGCTTGCTCGCCCGGCCCGCTCCCCTCGTCCGGAGGGGGCGGGGAGGAAGCGGCCGGGGAGGGGGGTGGGGGTGGGGAGAGGAGGGAGGAAGGGAGGGAGGAAGGAAGGAAGGAAGAAGGGAGGAAGGCAGGCAGGCAGGCGGCCGGTGAGGCACAGACCGGGCTGCGCAGCGCGGGCCGGAGCGGCGCTGCAAGGCGCCGGCGTTAACCCCTCGAGGGCAGGCGGCGGCGGCGGGGGAGCGGTGTTCATACATAAGAGCACTGCATCACGCTAATCTTCTCCCCAGAACAGTATGCGTCAGCAGTACATTCACGTTCTGACTGAAGGACAAAAGGATGAGAGAGCAGTCTGCGTGGCTGCTGCCTGCAACACTGCGAGCCCAGCGCGAGGAGGAGACGGTGGGCGCCGAGCGCGGGGGCCCCGCGGTTGCTGCCGTCGTTGCCGCCGCTAGCCAGCTGGGACCATGTTCCAGGGCTCCGGAGCGCTTCCCGCAGCTGCGACCCCCGCTGCTCACGCCGCCGCCGCCGCCAGCGCTCCGGTCGCTGCTGCAGCAGTCCACTGGCAGCGCAGCCGCTGAAGCCGCCGGGAGCCTCAGCCGCGAACTCGTCCTC